CATGACAAACCATGTTTTAAAGAACGATGTAGAGGGAAAGAGTGTGGAAGTGAATATGATCAAAATACATTGTATACATGTATGAAATTCTCAAATAAAAATAAAAATATTATATATCTGTAAGCAAGGTGTATGTTTCCTGAGGAATGACACCTGGGGTTGACCTCTGGCTGACACACACAAACACACACACATGTGCACCTGCACATACACATACAAACAAACAAATAAACTTCCAGAGTTAGCGAAAAATGGGACCCCTTTTACCCAGTTAGTTTTAAGTCTGATAGCTAAGGATTTTGTATGCACACATATTTGAGTACAGAATTATACCTGTCTTCAAGCTGGCTTGAGAGACTCCCATAAGCAGAAAAAGTCTGACTTTAAATATGGATTTAAAGAAACAATTTTTACTGAATTAAAAAATAGCTTCTTCAACAGGATTTTCTGCTAATAAAATAATTCAGCTGTTGCCTCTCACATAATGGAAGTCTTCAAGCTGCCTTGTAAACTTGTAATTTGTTGGTTGAGTTTACTGGTTTCTTAATTGCAGGATTAAGTCTTTCTTTGCAGCTAGTAAGCACAAGCATGCTGAGAACTCCAGAAGATATAATATAGTACTGGTAGGCTGCCCCAGAGGAGATTTCCCGTTCTGCAGAACACAGGCAGGGACTGAGGTGCCCAAAATGCTTCATCACAAGGGCGACAGCAACAACTCTGCCATAAATGCACTCCTTCTTGCTTTTGAGTCATGCTTTGCTTTAATGTAACTTTCCCTTCATGCTTTCCTGAGCCTGCAGGTATCACTTGTGGTTTATGGCAATGATGACCACAGCCTGGATGAGAAGAATGAGGTCCTATTGGTCAGCTGGGACCCCTTTACTCTCTGCTCATAGGCAAAAGAGATCAGTTCTGTGGCCTGGCTGAGAGCACAGTAGGGCCCACGGTCTCACCTGTGTGCTTGTCTCCTGGGTACTTCTGTAGGCTTCCTCAGGGACTGACTTCTCTTACTTCCCTCGGTAGCCCTGTGGTATTTCGCGCAGCTCCCAGCTTAGGTCTCTTCCCCATCACATATGCTGCTCTTTCTTCTTCAGTTCTGTCCTGACTTCATGCAAGAGCATCTTTCCTTTATTACTAATGCAGTATGATTAAGGGAAATGCGTGTGAGGTTGATTCAAGCTACTTTTTAGATATCATATAAGTCCCACCCCCCACTTCTTTTTTTGAGACATGGTCTCCCTGTAGCCCCAGACGGCCTGGAATTCACTATGTAGACCAGGCTGGCCTTTAACTCACAGAGATCTGCCTGTCTCTGTCTTCCAAGTGCTGGGATTAAAGGTGTGTGCCACCACGTCTGGCAGGTTCCCCTTTTAAGATGTAAAAGAAAAGCAAGAAAGTGTTGCATTTTCTTATCTGGTTTATTATAGAGATGTGAAACTATAACTAACCAGAGGAAGTAGCGAAACATACACACACACACACACACACGCGCATGCATGCACTCATGAATAATGCATAGTGTGTGAGGTCACATCTCCTCAATGATTGTCTCAGTACCTACTATTCATCTGCCCCTCCCTTCCAAGATCATCTGGAAAGATCTCTGAGGATTCTGATGAGCTATTTCTTATCAGAGTTCTATGGGAAAAATTATAAATAAAGAGTGGTTGACTCAAAGGGTTCCCACCCTTGACTCTGTGTCTTAGAAAGAGGTCCCAGAGTTGAAGTCAAAGGACAGCATTTCATCTATTGTTGAATCCTAAGAATGCGCAACACAATTTCAAGAGCAGTTAAAATAATTTCACACGAATATATTTATACAGCTTCATTATTGCTGTGTGTGTGTGTGTGTGTGTGTGTGTGTGTGTGTGTGTGTGTGTGTGTATGCACATGCATGCTTTAGGGCAGATGGACATATTTATACCACTTTCTTATTGGTATGTTGGTTTTCCAGACATGACAGACATGACAGTCCCTGAGGGACTGGGGAGATGGCTCAGTGAGTAAAATGGTTGCTGCACAACCATGAGGACCCGAATTCAGATTCCCAATGAAAACTAGATGCAGAGACATGCTCCTGTACTTCTAGCACTAGTAGGGGGTTCAGAGAAGCAGATCCTGGGGGCTTTCACTGTAGTTACTATAGTCAAAATGGTGAACTCCAGGTTTAGTGAGAAACTCTGTCTCAAAAAGTAAGGTATAGAGTGATAGAGAAAGATAGCCAAGTTGACCTCTAGCTTCCACATGCGAGATGAGAGAGAGAGAGAGAGAGAGAGAGAGAGAGAGAGAGAGAGAGAGAGAATCAGCACTGGGCACATGGTGCCATTCTCTGTCTGGAAGATCAGTTCTAGAACTTTCTATCTGCAGAGCTCAATGGCTTGTAACATTGTTTGATTGGTGTGACCTATGATAAAAGAGATCTAAAGGCCATTGCTAGCAGGAGACACTCCTCAGCAGGAAGCCAGGTATGGAGGGCAGCTCGGACCATGTGACTTCATTTTTTCAGGCAGTTGCCAAGTTACAGTCTTAAAAGTATCCTGAAAGTCCAGGTACTTTTAAAAAGCACAAGCGCATTCTTTGTTAATAGGCATTTTGGACAATTAGCCTGTGGTATTTGTAAAAGGCCACGATCTTTTATTGAATACTTTGGCATCCAGTACGATTTGAAATTCAAACTTTTTAGCTGTTACAAAGAAAATATGGTGTGTATACATTATATTTTGCATATGGGGCAGCTCCAGTCATCAGGCAGATAAGGAATTCTCAGGTGATGTATGCAAATTCACACCAAGTCAAACAGACTGCAAAAGCCTCATCATTTCAGCCTAGCTTGATACCACATGTGGCCAAATGAGTCATGAAAGCTGTGGTTTTCAGAACTGTTTTGGTTTTGCAATTACTTATGTGTCTAAGACTTATATTTTGACTTTAAGGAGCATCTTGTAATCTATTTGGGCCAGTAAAGACAACTAACATAAAACAACCAGCCTGCCTTTGAAGAGTACATGATCCAATATCTAGCTGTTTGTTCAAGGGCCATCTTGCAGGCCTGGCCCTGGGACATCCTTTGTACTTTCCACATGTACAGTCCCTGGGATACAGAGTCACTGCACAGGGGAAGCAGAGCAAGGGGGGAGGAGCACAGGCCCAGACCAGGCTGGTGTGTGCTGAGAACGTTATAGCCTAGCAGGGGCCAGGCTTCAGGCTTCTTGCTCTTGGTCCAGTGATTTGCTCAGTGCCCCATGGTGCGCAGTACCCACAGTGGATCATTCAGCTGTTTTACTAAGCAAAGCAGGGTGAAAAGGCACTCTGTGATTTTACTCTTGGGTTAGGCCCACAAAATGACTAAGGCTGCTGTGGTTTCGTATACTATAGACGTTCCAGAAGAGAGGCCTGTATTTGCTGATGAGGGGTTTAATTTGTGGGGGCTTGGAAAATGTGCTCAACTTCTAAATATAAGTGAGACTATAGATTTAGGTTTCCTGAGCAAAGGAAAAGATGAAAGAACAGAATAATAATCCTCCCTCTCCCTCCATTCTATGGCCCCTCTTCCTCTTTCCTCCTCCTTACAGGATTGTCAGACTTCACAGTCTTCTTAGGGAATTGTGTTGTGGATGGGAAAAGTCACCAGCTCCCCCTCACCTCCTGTGGTTCTAGCCTAAAGTCTTCAGAAGTTTAGTAGAAATTCCCCATCTAAGGCTTGTGGATGGTCCTCCTTACTGCTGCTGCAGTTGCAAACTGTCCCTGTTCTTCCAGAATTCCCTCCTGGTGCCTTCTCTCTACCCTCTAGCTAAGAAACATACAACCCAATATCCCAAGGGCTGTAGGAATGTGTGTGCCTGCTGGAAAGGAAAGTACTGTGGTCAGCCCAGGGGTCAGGTGATGGTCGGAAGGCTCCTCTGACTGACTGATCTGTTCGGGAATGAGAGTGTTAAAGGTCTCTAGGTGACCCTCCATGTGGAGTTGAGGAATTTGCCTGGGCCAATGCTTTCAAGATTCAGGGTTTCCCAGGCCCACTATGATGGAGGATGAGCTTCTGGACCTTCGATGCCTGATTCTATAGTCCTGGTCTTTGGCAAAATTGAGTGACATAATCATGACAAGATTCTTTTCTAACTTTCACCAAATTAGGGTTGTCCTTCCATATCTGTGAAGTATTGGTTCTAGCACCCTCTGGATACTAAAACCCAATCTAGGTGTGCTCTAATCCCCTACATAAGGGAACAGTGTCTATATGTTACTTATGCATATCTGTCCCTATTTTTAAACAATTTTATTATTCTTATTTTATGAGTTTGAGTGTAGTGTCTGCATGTATGTAAGTGCGCCTGTGCTGTGCAATGCCCTTGCAGGTCAGAAAAGGGCATTGGATCCCTTGAAGGTGGAGTTACAGACAGTTGTTAGCCACCATGTGGGTGCTGGGAATCAAACTTGGGTCCTCTGCAAGAGCAGCCAATGCTCTTAGTAATTGAGCCAGCTCTCTAGTACCCCCCCCCCACATTTTTTTATTGTTTATGAGTGTTTTGTCTGGATTTATGTAAATGTACCTGTGTCATGCAATACCGGAACAGACCAGGAAGAAGGCATCGAATCCCCTGGAACTGGAGTTACAGATGGTTGTTAGCCACCACATGGGTGCTGGAAGAGTAGCCATTGCCCTTAACCCCTGAGCCAGCTCTCCAGCCCCTTTCCCTATTTTTTGAGTTGTCTATAGGTTTCTAATGATACCCACTGCGATGCTTGTTGCAAAGTATTGTGTAGGAGTGAGAAGGAAAATTGCCTGTACATGTTTAGTACTGATACAATATTTCAGTCTTTCCAGTAGAAGGTTGCCTAGGGAACTCACAGGTACAGATGGATACCTGAATTTACCACCAAGGTGGCCCCCATTATTCACATCTGGGTGGTTTTTCTCCATAGATGGTTACAAGCCCCTGCAACTCATGCTCTCTCTGCCCCAGTCCTTGCCCTATTGTGATCCATTGTTCCCTTTGTTCCAGTGCCAGGACTACAGGGGTGGCTGGCTCACAGGAGCCCTGTGTGAGGACCTGTGTGTGGCCGGGGAATTGCTGTACCAGCGCTGCCTGTACTACGAACGTGGCAAGAAGGTGCTGCAGGCCCAGTGGCGAGGCCGGCCTGTGGTTCTCAAGTCCAAGAGGGAGGCTTTCTCCAGCTTCCCACCCCTCGGTCCCCTAGAGGAGGACACGCGGCCGGGTGCCCCAGGCATCCCTGAGGCTGAGCTACTCCTGATGGTGGCAGGAGAGGTAAAAAACACGCTAGGCCTGGAGTTGCCCAACAACAGCATGGGACCCCTGTGGCCTGCCAGGCGGGGCCCTGGCTGGCGACAACAGCTGGCCAGTGCATGGTCACTGCTCCAGCAGGAGGAATATGTGTATTTCAGTCTGCTGCCGGATCTGAGCCGTCATGTCCTGCCGGTGCTGGGCTCCTGTGGCCACTTCTATGCAGTGGAGTACTTGGCTGCAGGCAGCCCTCACCACAGGGCTCTCTTTCCCTTGGATGAGGCTGCCTCCAGGGCTGGCCAGGCCCAGGCCATTAGCCACATTGCCCTCAGTTTCCTGGACATGGTGAGCCATTTCGACAGTGACTTCTCCCACCGCCTCCACCTCTGTGATGTCAAGCCTGAGAACTTTGCCATCAGGAGGGACTTCACGGTAAGTGGAAACAGAGACATGTTTTTGGTAGGGAGAACGGTGCTTCTGGTCTGTGTGGGAGGAAATGAGATCTTGGCCTCTGGAAGCAAGCCAGCTTAGCTTTGGGCAGCCTTATGGTTTCTGGTGTTTCTCATTCTGGACCACTTCCTTGGTGGGGTTGATGGGAGGGTTTAAATAGATGGATCTTCTGCTCCTAGAGTTGGAATCCAGTGAAGGAACCCACTGGAGGCAGGGCCTAGATGGGGCAAGGGCAGAGAACCACAAGCTCCCTAGCCTCCAGCAGCTCAGTGGCTTCTTTGTGCTAATGAACAAGCTGGTACTCCTCAGGATCTTCATGGCCTGCCTAGGTTGCAGGGGATGGTGAGGAGAAAGGCTTTCAGCGCTGTTCTTCAAGGCTGAGCATGCTGTGTCCACACCACCAGGATGCTGAGAATAGGCAAGGCTTTCCAATGCTGCTCTTTGGAGAGTCTCTAGTTAGTTTACAGTCTGTGCATAAGACATCTAGAGGGCCATGTGGCGTTCTAGTGCCTGCTATCAAGGAAGACTCTAGGGCTGGGGGAATGCCTGACTCCTCACCTCCTTCAGAGGGAAAGTGGACTTTTATCCCCTAATCTTGGGCCATGAGACAGAAAAAGTGGTGAGAGGGACTTGTGTGTTTTATAAGATAATCCTTGACTCCTCCACTAAGCTAAAAGCAATGTGTCAGGTTGTGCTGTTATCCTGCCACTGGCCTAACTTCCAACCTGGGAATGGAAAGTGGTAACAGGACTGCCTATGATGTGGTAGGCACGGGGTGGGGAAGGGTTATGCTCTGGTTACCCCTCCTGCAACATCTTTGCTCTTATAGTGCAAGTGCTGGTCAGACTGAGCTGATCATTGTTCATGGTGAAGTAATGCTTTTCATCTTGGTTAGGACACAGGGGGACAAAAAAAGTTACCCTTACTGGGCCATGGGCTTCCATGGCAGGAGCATAGGATTGACATAGCCTTCTCAGAGCAGCTTGAAATCTGGAAAACTAATTTTGCCATTAGTGTCCTTTCTACTCAAGCTTTTATCCCTTAAAAGGGCATTGTAGAACTTCTCCCTCACTGTGCCTTCCCAGTGTCCTATCCCTGGCTGCCCTGTAGGGGCTGACAATCCAGGGGTGGCCTAAAATATGAAAAGATGGAGCTGGAGGTGGCTTTGGCAGATTCTAGAAGGTTCTGGGAGTCTCCAACAGGGTGTGCACACTGAGAAGGGAACTCTAGGGGAGCTAAGTCCTGTGTATACTGCCCTGAGTCCCTCAGTGCCTCCTAAATGAAGCCTTTACTAGTAAGGATGCCTATCCTACCAGTTGACCAGCTACTGTCTTGGAACTGAAGTGGGATTGCCACCCTGGACAAAGCTTCCCTACTTAGTGAGCAGAGAGCACATACAGTGGAAAGATGGGCAGTTGCTCTCCACCTCAGAAAAGTCTTGATACACAGTCACCTGAGGTGAGGATGTGGCCACCCTGAGTTCTGGAGACACAGCATCTGAGATAGGGATATAGCCCACCTGAGTCTTGGGATGTAGTATTGTGGAATGCTGTCCTATGATACTGTCATTGCTTTTTAAAAGAATTATTTTTGTGTGTATGAGTGTTTTGCCTGCATGTAAGTATTCCATGTGTGAGCAGTGCCTGCAGAGGCAAGAAGAATGTGTCAGATCCCCTGGAACTGGAGTTGCAGATGGTTGTTAGATGCCATGTGGGTGCTGGGAATAGAACTCAGGTCCTCTGGAAGAACAGCAAGTGTTCTTAACTGCTGAGACATCTCTCCAGCCCCTAGTCATTGCCCTCTTGAACTCTCAGCAGCTAAACAAGAGACCACACAAAACTGGTCCCATTTATCATCCACAGTGGAGGGAAGGGAAGAGCTCCTGAAGTAGAATACTATCCCCATGAGTCCATGCCCCTCCCTGAGGATATGTAAGTGACCACAGCTTGTTGGGGAGGGGAAGACTTCTTGTCAGTAGTGTAGCTGCATGTAAGTTGCCCAAGCTCCTGTAGGTAGCTCCTTACTCAAGCTCCTGTAAGTAACCTCAGTTAAACTCACAGTGCTGGACAGCTTCAGTTGTTAACCTGACACACCTGGAAAGAGAGAATCTTAATTGGAGAATTTCCTCTGTTAGTCTGTGGCCATGTCTGTGAGGCATTTTCTTGATTGTTGAGTTCTGTGCGATGGTCTAGCCCACTGTAGGTGGTGCCACCCCTGGGAACGTAGTCCTGGTCTCTATAAGAAAGTAGAGTGAGCACAAGCCAGAGGAGCAGGCCAGTAAGCAGGTTCCACTGTTGTCTGTGCTTTAGTTCCTGTCTCTAGGTTCCTTCCCTGAATTCCTGCCTGACTTCCCTCAAAGATGGAAACTTCCACTGTGCTGTGGAAGTTTAATATGAAATAAACCCTTTCCTTCCAGGTTGGTTTTGGTCAGTGTTTTGTCACAGCAGAGAAACCGAACTAGGACATTCACCAAGCTAGACTTGGGTGGAATCATTTCTTTGGTCTGTCACTGGTGTCCTGTCTGGGGTGAATAGATGTTTGTTCATCTCCCCATTAAGGGTTAATGTAACACATAGCCATTCTGAGTTGTGGGGTGTCCACATACAGCTGCCTGGCTTTGAGTGGCTATGAGCCAGTTCTTATAACTTAGTGCTCCATATCGGTCTAGTAGGCATCACTGAGTGTCAGTGAGTAGAGATCACTGGGTGCCATACGAGTTGAGGGACTAAAGCAAATACCTGCCTGAGCCATGTGTGGTGGCACACACTTGTAAAGCCAGCACTTGGGAAGCAGAGATGGGGATTGCAAGCCTGGAAAACCTGACAATTACAAGACACTGGGGTGGGTATATATAGTGATGGATAGCTTTAGTGTCAACTTGACACGCCCGAGTTGAGGGAGCCTCAACTGGAGAATTGCCTCCATTGAACTGGACTGTGGTCATATCTGTGGGGCATCTTCTTGATTGTTGAGTGATGTGGGAGGGCCCAGCCCACTGTGGGCGGTGCTACCCCTGGGCAGGTGGGCCTGTGTTGCATAAGAAAGCAGGCTGAACAGGGGCCAGGGGAGCAAGCCAGTAAGCAGCATTCCTCCATGACCTGTGCTCCAGCTCCTGGTTCCAGGTTCCTGCCCTGAGTTCCTACCTTGGGACCTTGGGCTCCCTCAGTGATGAACTATGACCCGGGAGATGTAAGCCAAAATAAATCCTTTTCTCCCCAAGTTGGTAGTGGTCACTGGAAGCTTCAAAGTCTAAATTGGTGTGTGTATGGGGGGCGCATCTGGCACATAAAGTGGAAGAAGTTATCGAGACAGAGACAGAGAGACAGAGACAGAGACAGAGAGACAGAGAGACAGAGACAGAGAGACAGAGAGACAGAGAGACAGAGAGAATCTGCCTTTTGAAGGACTGAGGCAACCCCAGATGTTTCTGTGTGCATATTTGCACATTCGCTGTCAATCCCACCACTGGTTTATGCAGCCACCTTGTTTGTGTCTCTGGTACTTTGGTAAGCATAAAACATTTCTTCAGTGAAACACTGATTACACTCTTTGCACTTGCCCCAGAGTGTGTTTTGTGTGCTGGTGCTGGACCACAGCATGTGTCTCCTCTGCTTTCATGCTGAAATTGATGGAGTTGGGAAGAGCCGGAATGGGTGCCATGTGATCCCCTTGATCAGCCTGCTATTCTTTATCCTTCTTGCAGACACTGAAGTACAAGGAATTAATGATTTTACCTGAGAGTTTTCCAACTTTGACGTGAAAGCCATAACTTGTTAGCAGTGAAGATTCTGGTTTTTTTTTTTTTTGAGACAGGGTCTCCCTGTAGCCCCAGCTGTCCTGGAGCTCACTATATACACCAGCCTGGCCTTGAACTCACAGAGATCTGCCTGCCTCTCCCTCCCAAGTGCTGGGATTAAAGGTGTGCGCCACCATGCCTGGCCCCGAAGATTCTATTTTTAATTACATTTATTTGTTTAGTATGTGTATGCGTGTGTGCCACAGCTCGTGTGTAGTGGTTAGAGGACAACTTGTGGGGTGTTGCTTCTCTCCTTCCACCATATAGGTCCTGGGGCTTGATCTCAGTCGTCAGCCTTGGTGGCAGGCACCTTTACCTGTTTAGCCATCTTGCCAGTCTGGAATGCAAATAATTTCTCACACTATACCTCAGACCTACTGAGACTGTGGAGTGTGGCAAGAATCACAACTGTGATCCCAACACAGGAAGATGAAGCAGGAGGGTCATGAGTTCAAAGCCAGTTGGGGCTACAAGCTAAGACCCTGTCTCAAGCAGGCAGGAAAACATAAAAGGCACCTTTCTGGTTTGGGCCACTGTTCAAATTTGAGAACCCAGAAGATGGGTCCTGCCTTTGAATCTTGGCTTCCCTGCTGCCCTAAGGAGAAGGGAGGGGCCCTTATAGACGAGGTGCAAGAATGGAAGATTCCAAGTCTCCCACTCCCTTCCAGATTTATCCAGTGCTTGCAAATCAACAAATAGGAAATGAAGATGGCTCTGAAATACCTTGTGCAAGTGCGTCTTTCAGGTAGCGGATGCTTCCTACTCTAGAGAGAGAACTGAAGTAGAGGAAGGGCCAGGAAACAACTCATTCAGTAGAGATCATTCTCACTAATCATTCTAATCTGATGCCCAAAGGAAGTTTGAAGATAATGTGGTAATTTCATGCAGAAAGAATTTTATGAATCTCCTAGTATTGAGAAATATTATGCAGGTATCCCTGGTTTTTTGTTTTGTTGTTGTTGTTGCGTTCTTATTTTAGGTACACAGGAGCTGTAATTTATTCTGTAGTACATAATATAAATTTAAAAAAAAAATCTGACTTTCACTGGGAAATGAAAGGAAAAGTGTCAGAAATGGGACTGGAGAGGTGCATGGAACAGGGGGAGGCCGGGCAGATGCCCAGGAGCTGCAGAAAGAACAGAAGGATTGTAGTCCTAATAATAAATGATAAAGACAGTGAGTTTGTTAGCATGGCTCTCATTCTTTAACCAGGCTAAATAATGAGATTAACAATTAGCTATTTATTTTGAAAAATGAGATAGGAAGGACTGCTTAAAGTCAGAGTGCTTGCCTAGCATACACAAATCCTGGGGTGTAATCCCCAGCACCTCAAAAGAAAAAGCTAGTGGGGGTATGGTTCAGTGGTAGAATGTTTACCTAGCTAGCCCATGTGAGACTCTTGGGCTCAATCCGTAATACACACACACACACACACACACACACACACACACACACACAGGGAAAGGAGAGGAATGAAGGTGGGAGGGGGGATGTATTAGGGAGTTTCTGGGGGGAGTGAAAAGGGGGAGTTGGGATGGATATGATCAAGACATACTGTATACATGTAAGAAATTGCCAGACTAAATAAAATATATTATAAAATTAAACTTCATTTCCCTCATGAAACAAAACAAAACCCACCACCACCATCACCAAAAACAACAAATTGTTTGCCATGTCTGAGTTTGTTATTAGCCCAAGCCCATTATAGGGAGAAGTTCTCTGTGCTGTATTTTCATTATTCTGCATATATTATGTTCCCTTCTCTTTTATTTTACTAAATAAGCCCCCCCAAACCAGTTCCCTTCCAGAACTAGTCTTGAATGAAAAATGAGCATAAAAGTAGAAGTTGGAAAATAGGCCTCTCGATGCTGTGTAGCACCCAGGAAGAAGTGAACACCAGCCTTGTTTGAGAGGCTACCAGTGCGGGGAAGGCGGATGTTCTGATGTTGGCTTGTGAGGGCTTGTGGGACGGCAGCTCCATCAGAGATGTCACATTTCCTAATGCTTCTTTGTACCTTGAAGCTAACAGCTGTGAAATTTGGGCAGACTCCAGATTCTTGCAGATTTGAGCTTACTTTTTTTTTCTTTTGTATCCAGGTGGTGAAGGAAAATCTGCATAATTTGTTATTCTTTTTCTGGTTCTGAAACCGATTTGGTTGGAAACCAGAAAGATAAATCTGAAATTCCAAGGGGTCCTCATGTTCCCACTCTTGACTTTGGAGCTAGTGGTTGAACCTATTTGCTCGGGGCTTATAATGCCCACCTTAATTGCAGCTGACACTTCCTCATGATCAATCTGACAGGTCAGTTGGAAACCAGTTGACATGGGTCACAGGTGTGCAGTAAAAAGAGCTTGGGGGCTACCTACCTATTTCTACTCCATGGCTGCCTTTGTTTGTTTGTTTTAGGTTTTTAGAGACAGGGCCTCCCTGTAGCCCCAGCTGGCCTGGAATTCACTATGTACACTAGGCTGACCTCGATCTCACAAAGATCCACTTGCCTCTGCCTTCCAGTGCTGGGATTAAAGGCATGCACTACCATGCCTTACTCCATGACTGCCCTTGATTACTCATAGCCGATGTGATAGATTATTTCTCATAGCATTTGGAATCTTAACCCTGAAGGTGTAAAAGGAATGAGAAACTTGTTAGAGTCAAAATAGAATTGTCCACAACAAACATAAATAAAGTGGGAGGATATGAAGGAAAGGTTGCTGTGCATGATGACCTGACAGTAACTGTCACACCACACTGTCAAATCTACAGACTGCACAGAAGCCACTATAGCCTTAAAGAAAAGGCTCTCCCATAAGAACATCTACCCAGAAGCTGTCTATTCACGCTTAGACTGATGCCATGCTTTTTGTCAGTCATTGTGACCAAGGATTATTGTTTCAACATCTCTGATATTACCCTCCTTACTCTCGAGTGTATGTGTATGTGAGGGTGCTCATGTGTGTTCAGGTGAACATGCATAAGTGTGTGGAGGCCAGGCCTCCAGTCTCATTCCTCAGGAACTGTCTACTTTTGTTTTGGAGACAGCATCTCTTACCAGCCTGGAACTCACTAAGTGGACTAAGTTGGCTGGGCAGTAAGACCCAGGGATCCATTTGTCTTTGCCTCCCAGTATTGGGATTACAGATATAAAGATTTTTAAAGATGATTTTATTTTTAATTTTATGTGTATGAGTATTTTGCCTGCATGTATGTGTGTGACTAGTGTTCCAGGAGGGTAGACGGGAACATTGGATCCCCTGGAACTGGAGTTACAGACAGTTGTGAGCCACCATGTGAGTGCTGGGAACCAAACCCTGCCTGGTCCTCTGCAAGATTAGCAAATACTTCTAACTGATGAGCCACCTCTCCAGCTGCCTGCCCCTTTTTCTAACATGGATTCTGGGGATTGAACTTGGGTCCTTGTGCATACTTTACTGACTGACCTATTTCTTACTTTTGTCTTTAAAAGCTTGACCTTCCCCTGAGCTCTTTATATGAGCCTATGTTGTATAGGGCGCGTGTCCTTCCCATAGTAATGCTCTGCTATTCCCAAATAAATACCAGTATTTTTTTTAAGGACCTTTTCTGATTGTTTTGTTATTTAGGTAAACAAACATCAGAGACATAATCAAAAAGCAACAGAAGGAAAATTCATTAAAATTTTTTATTTATTTATTATTTTTATTTTATGTGTATGCGTATATTGCCTGCATGTAGGTAAGTGCACCTGTGCCATGCAGTGCCGGAGGAGGACAGAAGAGGCTGTCAGATCCCCTGGAACTGGAGTTATGCACAGTTGTTAGCTGCCATGTGGGTGCTGGGATTCGAACCCGGGTCTTCTGCAAGAACAGTCAGCGTTCTTAACCACTGAGCCATCTCTCCAGCCCCTGGAAAATTCATTTTTAGAGTATATTTTATATAATCCACTTTAAAGTCCAGAAAATGTCCAAAGATGAAAAGTGATACATGTGATTAACAGCTTAAAATCCTACGTTTGAGTTAGTGACAGCAAAGGTTCTTTTGTAACGAAACATTGGGATGTAGTCCAGGATAATAGCTTGTGTAAAACAAAACACTTGTAAATACTTTGAGGAAGTCAAAACAAGCTGCTCCCTAGGGCACCCTGGTCACAGTCTTTCAATCAGCAGTCCTCGGGTCCCCTTGCATCCCAGTGGACATCAGGGCAAGAAAAAGAGCTGTAAGCAACTCTCCTGCAGAGCCTGTGCTATCATTTGATTGCCATGCACTTCTTTGATCATAGGTGGTGGCTATTGATGCGGACATGGCCTTTTTTGAACCTAAAATGAGGGAAATCCTTGAGCAAAACTGCACGGGAGATGAAGATTGCAATTTCTTTGACTGTTTTTCAAAATGTGATTTGCGAGTGAACAAGTGTGGAGCCCAGCGTGTCAACAATAACCTGCAGGTTAGTGGGCTGAAGTGTGAGGCTGGGGAAGACAGCCCTGCTCTGTGGGCCTCTGGACTTAGTGTTCAGCCCAGGCAGGATGGAGGAGCTCTTCCTTGTCCTTTATTGCTACTTCCTTGGTGGTTGGTCAAGACACCGGGTGGGGTCTAGTGGGTGGAGATGCTAACCCAGCCCTCCCAGGACTTCCTCTTCCCTGTGGCTCCATCTAAGCTGAGGGGCCTGGACACTGGGGGAGCTTGTTTGGAGGTTGGAGCAGGGAGTGCAACTTCCTTGCTGCATTCCCTTGAAGGAAGACCAGTAGTCCTCCTATTGGGAAAGGTCAGCTCAGCATCAACAGGATGCACATGGAGTGGAGAGGTTCAAAGGGACACCCGCTTAGTCAGCTAGATCGGCTGAATCAATCCTGGCAATTCATGGGTGACACATTTACAGCCAGACTGCCCTCACATCCAAGGACAACTTTTCTTTTTCATCCAGTGTCTGCCTCCCCATAAACTTTCACACACAGGGAAAACATGAGAAGAGTAGATTACTGAGGTCAAGATGGACGAGAGCAAGGTCATTCTGAGAAAGTGGGCTAACCAGAGAGACTGGGTAGACACCACTGCAGACAGGCAGGGCAGGCAGCAAGGACTCTTGTAGGGTGAATGATCCAAGATGTCAGCAATGAGTAGCTTAGTAGGAATTGATTCCAGCATTGGATGCCAAATTCCTGTCCCCTCAGTTGGAAACTATCCTTTATCTTTGACAGAATTGTCCCCTTTGCCCTCCTTGAGGATCAGGGGTGGGTGACTGTGCACCTGGGCCCACAGATGCTAAGAATCACCGAAGGAGGTCTGAACTGCTTCTGAGGGGCTCTCCTCACTGCTGTCTGGTTATGACAGAACAGGCCTGGCTGCCCTCTGACCTGCAGAGGGGCCAATTCCCCTGTGACTCTGTGTTCTCTTCAGAAATGGGCCCAATCCTTTTGGGCTGCAGAAGGGCCACTGAGGTTGCTGCTTGTGACTCTGCTCTACTTTTTCTTTGGAAATAATGCTTAATCCTTTTTGAAGCATCACTCAGAACTTTCCCCACTGCCCTGGGGCTGGAAATGGAATTTTCCATTTCACAGGGAGGTAGGCATGGCTTGTTCCCAGTGCTGAATGCTTTTAAGGGTTAGGAGAGAAAACCCTGCTCATTGTCAAGGTTCTCTCTGCAAGGCCTCCCTGAAGAAGCAAAGCAAAGGTGTGCTTGAGATTAGCTGGGGACCTCAGAGATGCCAAGGAGGACTTCCTAGTCAGAACTAACCTCTCACTCCTTCCTACAGGTCATCTGTGACAAAATATTTCGACACTGGTTCTCCTCAACACACAGGAGCCCTGCCATCTCCCCTCAGCTTCGACTGCAGCTACGGCAGGCAGTGCAGGAGTGTGCGGACCCAGGGGGACCCTCTGGGAATGCCTGGAGAGCCTCCTCCAGTGTGTTCTGGAAGCTTCGCTGGCTCCTTCAGGCCATGCTGAAGGAACTACAGGGAATGAAACAGTAGCCACTCTCTGGCTTTAGACATCTTGAGCAGGGGGAAGTGCCTCTCTGAGAGATGTGCTCTGCAGTCACTATGCAGATGAGCCATCTACAGTATTGTCATTGGTCTCTGAAGTGTGCATTGCCCTTCAGCTGCTGTGATGCTGGCTTCCCTCGCTCCAGCCCAGCTCCCTTTACTTGTGTTTGTTTCTGACCTCTGCCCTATCATCCCCTGAGAAATGAACTGAGGGAGGAGGTTCAGAGATTTTGACACATGGGTTCCCAGTGTGCAGTTCTCTGCAGAGTGCGCTTCTACCTGGACATCAGAGAAGACGGGCAGCAGCTCTTCCCTATTAGTCATTACTAAGCTAAAGTGTGAATGTGGACGTACAGATGAGGTGTTTGCAAATGAATGTATGCATGTGTGTGCATACACAATTATGTGAATGTGTTTGTGTATATGAGGTTGTGCTGTGTAAAACAAGCATGTTAATGGGTGTATACACACATGCTTGTGTCTGTACATGAGTGTGATTGTGTATGCACTCGTGATTATGAGTGTTCTGTGTGTGTGTACACATATGTTGAGTCTGTGCACATGGATGAGGCAACATGAGTCTATAGAAGAGTATGTGCATGTATGGGTAAGGAGGTGAGTGAGCAGGTGGGCATGGGGTGGTCCGTGTGGAGGGGTGACTTTCTAATGTGTCTCCTGGTGAAGCGTGCCCAGCTGGCACAGAAACATCACTCTTTTCCTGGAATTAAATACAACAAAAAGTTGCATCTTTAGGGAAGTGATATGTACTGGAGAGTATGTGGAATGGCAGCTTTTAGGGATTTTTCATTTTGTGGAATCCACTGACTTTATGGGTTGTGTTTTAGGGAGCATTTTACCACATACTGCAATACATTTTCCTTCTTAGCAAGGAGCCATGGGTCTGATGAATGCAGTGTGTTCTGTCACCACAGAGACAATTTAAGTAGAGCTGACCATGGACAAGAATGAGGAAGAGCTCCTTTGTGCTGACTGACTGAAGATGCAGTCATGGGCCTGCACTGTACCGCAGTGCCATGCATTCTTTGGTGGGAATTGACGAAAGTCTTCTGTAATCACAGATCCACACAAAGCAGGCCACACTCTATATTGCTCCCAACAGAGAGAAGGGGGTGGAGCCAGTAAGCTTTACACTTAGAGGGAACTTCACTTCCACTCAGGTGCTAGACTCAATGAACCAAAAATTCTACAAATTACGTGAAAAGGACTTGACAAAGATGCAATGTTTATAAAGTTTCAGAATGTGTGCCAGTGGCTTACAAGGAGAAAAAGACAGATCTGAAATTTTAAAGGTTCTCAAATTGAGACGCTCTATACTCTTTCTCCAAAACCTCTTTGTAATCTAGACAGTGAATTGTCTCCTCACACTCTTAGGATGTGTTTCTCGGGGCTGTGTACTAGGTCTGTACCCTGCTTGCTCTGAACAGTGATAGATAATTGGAGGTCCTGCCAGCCCTGGTGCTGTGCTCCTGAAGGCTGTTTGAGGGCCACATTACTTGCCTTTCTCATCCCTCCCCTTATTCTATCCCACCATTGACTTACTAGATAAAGCTGGATTTCTTAAAGGGCATCCTTCATCCTGTGCCTGAGACTCGCTTTGTGTTTCTGGTCTTTGGTGGGAACCTGTGTGTGTCACTCTGTGGCAGAAGTAAGTGACACCCTAAGTAAATGCCCTGGGCTTGGACAAACAGGTTCTCATGGTTAGTAACCTGGCCTGGTCTGAGGAGCAAGGCTTCCATTTCCTAGAACAGGGTCAGCGGCAGCTGCTTTTCTGCTGGGCAGGTTTTTGAGAGTGGAAGGGTCACACAGGAAGATGGATGTGAGATGTCAGGAGAGACAGGAGGCTGGGGGGCTTCTTGGGGGCTTTGTTACTTGTGTTTTCCTGATGGAGAACATTGGGAGTCAAGTGAATCTCTAGTGGGTCCACTCTGGGATGACAGGCCTTCCTCAGTGGCTCTGAGCTCACTGGTCAGGCAGCAAAGGTAGCATGGGAAGAGAAGATGTCAATTCTCATTTCATTCCAAATGGAAACAAATGGTTTCATTTACTACAGAGACTATACAGTATATAATTACCAAACACAGAGGCATCTCTTTCAGCTTTTGTTTGCTACCTAGTTATTCTCTCTCTCTCCCTCTCTCTCTCTCTCTCTCTCTCTCTCTCTCTCCTGGAGGACTCCTTTTAAGGCAATGGCTCTTAAACTGTGGTGAAATTCAGTTTTTTTCCAGACCTTTGTGAAATACTGCTTTTATATACTACAATAAACAAATATGGTATATATCAATATTTCGGTTTTGTTTTGTTTTATTTTTCAGTGCTGAGGGTTGAGTCCAAAGCTTTGGGAAAGCTAGGCAGGACCTCTACCACTTAGCTATGGCCCCAGCCCCAGCCCCATATTTAATATTTTGAATGTGACAGTTGAGACTAGTTGCTGCTGACTCAACTGAGCAACGATCATACTAATGAGGAGAAAAGGTTTCTTTGTTTTAATAACACTTATATTTATCCAAATTAAGATGCTTCAGTATTTCACCAGAAGTCAATTTTCAAAATTTAACCCAATTATAGCTAAAATGGTCTTTTTGTTTTTGAGGCAGGGTTTCCCTGTAGTCCCAACTGGCCTGGAACTTGCTATGAAGACTGGACTGGCCTTGATCTCACAGAGATCTGCCTGCCTCTGCCTCCTGAATGCTGGGGTTAAATGAATGTGCCACCACACTCAGCTCAAGTGGCCTTTTGATGAAAGGATTCTGGAACTGCATGCCTGCTGACTTAATGGCAGACACACTCTAACAGACTTCAAGAGGTTCTTCTGCAAGAACATCATCGCCAGCTCATGCTCTTGAGTTTCTGGATACCCAAGATGGTCAGTGGGAGGTGGGTGTCCTGTCAATGTCACACAACATTGCACACATTCATAAACAATACCAATGTTGTGAAATCCCACCTCTCATCTCCTCACAGAAGGGCAGGAGCTAGCAGTTCATAGGTAGGCCTCCTGGCCCTGCCTTCTTAGGGTCCTGCCCCAGGCTGAATCCCAGCTTGCTCAGCCTTTCTAGAGGATCCAGAACAAATGCTCAGGACATTACCTTAAGTTATTAGAAGAGCACCTATTTTAAAATTCGATCTGGAAGCTTTTCTTTGTGGTGGTGGAGTTTGGTTGAAAACAAAAATTTTTTTTTGGTCTTTTTGAGACAGGGTCTCCCTGTAGCCCCTGGCCTGGAACTCACTATGTAGATCAGGCTGGCCTCTATCTCTTAGAGAACCATTTTCATCTGCTCCCCAAGTGCTGGGATTGGCGTGCACCGCCACACCTGGCTGGCTGAAATTTTTTAAACCGACAACCACATAAGGAAACTAGTATTTGCTGTGCTGGCACCCTGCAGTTGGTAAACAAATGCCACTCCTGCTCTGACATCTTTGAGGGGCTGGAGGGAACCCTCATGGAAAGGACATGCCCCTCCAAAGTTCATGCTCACATGCTGCTTCTCCTTCCAGCTGGCTTCCATTGCTGGACTTCTGAAAAGGTGTTCTGCACTGTGCTGAGGCTGCTGTGTGGCTGTGGTCCCAGTATGTAAGAGGCAGAGGTAGGAGGATGGTAAATTCAAGACCAGCCTGAGCTACAAGGTGATTTTGAAGCCAGCCTTGGCTCCACAGAGAGGTCAGGTCAGCCTGGGCTACTGTGGCCCGAATTCTCTCTGGGTCTCCTGCACAATCAGACAAACCATATAATATATTTTATGTGTATTTATTAAATTACAAAGGAATGAGCACCCAGTGCCTAGCCCCACACTGCGCCTCAGAGCCCACCTTATCAGACCAACCGTGCTACGCTCATAATTCCGCTCACGCCTCAGGCCAGCATAGCCCCAGGCCCACAAAAGTCAGTCCATTCTGTCTTTCAGCTGTTGTGTGTGGTGTTCCCACAGTTTGCGCGCAGCTTGTGGATTCTCTGGCTTGGCTCATAGCTTCCGTTCCAAGAAGGTTTCCAGCCACACCGCCATAGTCCACACGGCGGCAGGCTCCGCCCATTGGAAGAACTAGCCAATTGGGAGACACTCCACCCCTTTCTTCCGCTCTTACAATCTTCCCCTCCATCTTCCACTAAAGTCCCTGAGCCTTGGAGAGGTTGATAGATGTAGGGCGATCTCTCTTGTATCATGGCGAGAGAGTGGCCTCTTGGGCCTCCCCATTAGTCATCTTTAGGCTGTGGCCACTGATCTCAGTGGTGTTTCTTCTACTATAAAGACAAATGGAAGGAAGTAGATACATTTAAACAAACATGAATGTAAATACAGATGCCTAGAAGATATCCCAATAGGTGTACTATATTCATTAAACAATATACTCATGATGGCTTCTCCACTAGGGCCTGTAGCCTTTCTCAACACAAGGTGTTGTCCTGGTCTACAGCACCAGATGTGTGTTCCACCCCTAGGAGCGGGCCTTATCCAATTAGAAATTTGTCAGTTGTATGTATGTTGGTCAAGCCATTATTGCACTTGCAGGTATTGCTTGGCATGTCCATAGTGTGCACCATGTGGGGTCCATCGTTGAGTAGAATTATAGGGAATCCTTTCTTCCCCAACCATGTGTATAGAGCCTTCTGGCAATATGAACGTCATCCATCCAGTGCCATGGAGTTTTTTGGCTTAGCCTCAGTTCCATCTCTTCTTCTCCCTCGCTCACAACATGCAGTGTCCTCAGCAACATGGCCTTACCAACCTTTCTAGTATACAACTGACATTAATGGCAATAGTCTTGGTGAATTGGAGGACCTCTAGGAGCTCTCTCTGACCAACAGCTTATAGGGGGGCAACCCACCCCTGATACTGTAGATTTTCTTAACAGTTGTCTATAGCTGGCCTTTGCTTCTTCAGGTATCTTTCAAATGGGTTTCACATCTGTAAAACATTTGAAGGAATGTTAACATTATATATTAAATCACTCATAGACAAGGTCTCATAAAGCATGGAAAGGTTTTGTCCATTCATATTAACTGTTTTCTCCATAGATCCTTGTTAGGTACATAGCATGGGTACAAGGCATTAATTTGGTTTGCTCTTTACCATTTTTAGCTATCCTTTTGGATTCTTTTATTCTTGATGTACTTACAGGTATTGGCTCCAGTTGCCTGACCCTGTACTGGGCTAAGGAGGCAGGGGGCTCCTGTCCCCCCTGCACTTTTGTTCCCTGAGTCAGACAGGCCCTGGGTCTGCCTCCTGACTGTAGCCACATCTGTCATCTTCCCATTGACCACACCATGTTGCTGGGGGAGAACTTGGTGGGAAAACCTGCTTCCACCCCTAGTATAGCCTTTATCAGAAATGCATCTTATTTAATCCTTGGGGATTCTTAACCACCCCTTGTACAGTTGTTATCCTTCAAATGTCCTTTGTAAACTGTTCTTCTGGTTTTAAAGCCTTCCAGAAATGCCTTAGTACTGAATTT